TTCTGATACTTATAAGTTTTCATTTATATCTTGTCCCTGATGCTATTACTTAGTCTTATATGCCTGATTAATCGTGCTGATATGATTTATTCTTATGCACGCAGAGAAACCTTTATTTTTTCAGAGCTTAATTGTGTCCTGTATCTGGCACAGCACAGCTTTGCTCTGAATTACTGCCAGAGCACGTCAACAGTGGTGCCATATGCACTCCATCTCCCACCCAAACTGTAGCTACAGTTTTTACTTCCATTTCTGATGCTTTTCAAGCTTTCTGCTTTGTCCTTTCCACCGCTGCAGCCTGTGTGTGTTGGGAGGGGAAATGGGCTGAGTCCTTGGCCTGTAGCCTTTTCCCAGAGTCCTTCAGAGAACTCCTTCACAGTCCTCTGCAAACCTCTCAGACTATGTTAACTTGCAGAGTTGTCACAGACCTCTCTCTCTGCCAGAGACTGAAGATAATATGGAGAGGCATTGAAGGGTGTAGAAGGAAAGTGTCAGGCATCTGTTTTTGCTACGCAGTTCATCAGTAGCCCAAGGGTAGGAGCTGTCACAGAAAAGCACAGCTGGGGCCTGTGATGAGGAGGCATGTGGGTGTGTAATACCCACGTGAGTCACAGTATAACACCTGGAAAGGACAGAGCCTCCAGACTGCAAACTCAAAGGGGAGGAAGCTTTTGCAAGCAGATGAAGGGATGTGTGTCAGGGAGGTTACTCCGTCTTGGAGGGGTTGTGGGCTGGAGCATGAATGTGTCAACGCAGCAGATGAAAGAGTTCAGCAAAGGCGGACAGAGTAGCATAATTTAATCAGCTGCAAGAAATGAGAAACATAAAAAGGTTGTGGAAAAGTAAACACGGGCAGTGGAAATGCTCTTTTGTGAATTTACATTTTTGGCTACATTTCTCCGTCTGAGGAAGCAGGGAGACGAGATTCTGATGGTCAGCTCCAGTCCAGTGCATGGTCCAGAGCACTGGCCCAGCACAGAGCTGGCACCAGGCCTGGGGTGACAGAGCTGCTGTGTGGCTTGGCACTGCATGTAAGATGTGGAGGAAGGGAAGGGATATTCTTGCCTTCTCCTCCTTCAATGAAAACGTCAAAATGATTGTGGAGGTGCATGTGAGTAGCAAGGTGGGATCAGGGAGCCATGTCAGGAAGCGGTTGTCTGTGTTAGAGGCTTAGTCCTGGACTTGGGAGATGCTCAGTGTGTGAAGCTTCCTTGGGTCTGTGAGAAATTTTAGGTGTGGAGGGGGAAATGGGAAGGAATATAGCTGTTGGGTATTGTTATAAAGAAAAGAGAGTTATCAAGTGTATTTGTAGAATATTTCCATTGTGAGTAGTATGTGTAACTGAATATGGCTTTAACACCAACAGACAGTTGGCAACTTGTAGTAAGCAACAAGCCATGGTCCTCTGAAACAGGCACATCCAGCACTAACATCCACATTGGCAGCTCTCCCCGCAGCCAGGGCAGCATCCATTCACTGCCCAACAGTGGACAGTGTGTCTTTCTCAGAATATGGTAGTTGTGTTGTGATAAGATATGAATCTAAGCTGGGCTTGCACTTATTTGTTAGTTGGCCAACCTAGAAATTGCTAGCAGACATCCTCTGTATCTGAAGGACAGTAAAGTTTCTTGCAAAGTCATTTTTCTTTTTGAGATGGACCTAAACCATGTTCACAAGCAGTCCCCAAAATTCAGCTGAATCACAGTTATGTCTAAAATTCCTCTGTCTCGGCTCATAGTCCAAGCTTGTGTCTCCAGAGCAAGGAAAAGTTTCTGTGTGCTGTCATGAGAAAATGATTTTGGAAAAAAAATAGCCCAGAGAAAGATAAAGCAACTTTGGGAAAGAAGCGATGCCATATTTTGCCTGTAACATGATAAAAAATTTCTTCAAGAGAAATTTGTGATTAAGAATGTCTCAATGAGATTGTATAACTTCGTATTACTGTCTTCATTTGGAGAAGATCAAACACTGAAGGTTTTTTTAATCTAGTCAATAAAAGACATAGGGAGAACCAAAACCTTGGCAAATTCTAAGTAGATTGCCCATGTTTTGAAATTAATTGAAATTGGGTGATTTTCTACTAATTGTTCTCTAATTTTGCTTTGGCAGAGTGCAAATTCTTGGGATAAGGCCAGGCTAATGGGGTGATGTGCACGACTCCAGCAGTGCTTCACCTCTGAAGTGTGAGGTTTATGTTCCTTGTTAGAGTGTGACTCAAGCAATGAGTTGGTTTCTTGTACTCGCGTATAAAATTCCCTGCACATGGGTAATATAAGAAGTGTTTTCCAGTAGAACAACAGCTAGAACATTATGCAGCATTCCTGTAAAACTACACGGAGCAAATGAAAAAGGCCACTCACCAAACCAGCTCTCTGGATTACCAAAAATGCCCTAGAGTATTAAAAGTGAAAATATTTTGAAAATCTAACTTCTTTGACTATTCTGTTGCTTTACTTTCTGTGCTTCACACACCTTAAAGAAAATAAATCATCTGACCTTACTGCTTATTTCTCATAAACAAGAACAGTGGGATAACGTGTGGGCTGCACATTTGGAAAGGAAAAACTGGAGTGGACTTGGTTTCCCAGGGTAGGGTTTTCTTTTTTAGTTTACTAAACATGCCTCTCATTAATAACATTCTTTAAAAGAATCTGAACTGTATTTTAGAGGTTTAAACTGAGGGGTCCCTCACATCTGTCATCTCTGAATTTTACCTTACAGAATGTGAAAATCTCACACTGCAGTGAAAGGTGTGTCCTTTCTAAATATGAATCTTTTCAGCTACGGAAGAGACTCAGGGACTTTGTACAAGCAGGAGTTTGGTAACAGCGTGTGGGAGTCCAGCTGCCCTCTGTGGGAGCAGTGTCCAGGAGGGAAGGCGGGCAGCAGGAGGTTCTGGGGACTGAAAGTTCAGAGGGAGTGTTTCATGGGGATGAGATGTCTCACGGGGAAACACTTTCTGAGGCTGAATTTGAAAAACTGCGTGCAGAGTCTTAAAATGCAGAGGCTGAGGTGCTGACAAGGGCCATGGTGTGATTGTTGGGGGACGCTGGCAGGGCAGAGCAGGACACCCCCCACCACGGCCGCTCCCTGCATTCTGCTGCTGCCTTGACACAGCCAGCTCCCGGGAAAGCTCTGGAAGAGAAACCAGTGTCCTGGGCCGGAGCCTGAAGTCTCCCCTAGCGTGGGAATAGCACGCACAAGAGGATGCAGGGGCTGATTTACGTCACAGCACCGTGTGTAAAACAACAAGTTACAAAAGGGCATTTTATAGAAAGGAAAAAAATACCAACTGAGCATCAGAAGAATGTTTGTCTTCCTGCTTTTAGCTTAGCGTGGCTCTTTTTTTAGTTGCGCAGCTAGGATGACTGAATTTGTAGTAGCTGAAAATGCCAGAGAGTCATTAAAGTGATCTTGAGAAAGCGCTGGGAGTCTGTACCATGTTCCACAGCTCTTCCGAAACCCACCGCTGTGCTCGCCATGGCAGATGCTCGAGAGCAAAGTATGAGGCAATGTGTTTTTATATAGCATTGTTTTTTTTATTAAGCACTGCTGCCTGCTATATAAAAAAACCAAACAACCCAAATTAGAGAAAAGCATCATTTTACAAGAACCCTGTGTCAGGCAACATATGTTATAAAACCATGCTGTGACTGTTAGATGTTGAAGGAAATGTCAATTAAAACCAAGCCAACAGATTATTTGCAGTAAAAGACAGCCATTTGTTCTTCCCCAACCTTTTCTCTCTTTGTCCTCTAATTATCACTTTTCTTATTCAGCAAACTTCAAAGGTTAATCACAGACAGGAACAAACAGGTGAAACCTTTCTTCTGGCCTTGGAATAATCCACAACTAAAAATGCTCATGAAGGTTATTCCGGTGGAGGTTTGATGCCACCTAAAGCCTCCACCAAGTCTTGCAACAGAAGAAATCTGCACCTCTCCCCAGCATTCTCAAGCAGTAACAGCTCTGGAGTTATTATTTATAGTTCTTTGTGGCTACATTAAGCACAGCAGAAGTTTGCAGTGTGAGAAAATTAGTTCAGTCATGCTAGGCTGGGTAGTAATCCAAAGTTCTGTCATCTCAGCCTGTGAGAAGCAGACATTGTAACTCAGTCCAAAATTAAAGCTCTGATAGGGAGAGGCTGTCTTTATTCTCCTGACGCTAAAACTAACTTTGTAATGACATTCCTTTATTTTTAACATTTGGAAACCATGTCACTGTAAAAGGGAATCAGATTCAGTAGATGGAAAGACAACATATGCAAGACATTTTCCATGATAACTTCAAGCCTTAATGTTCGGTGGATACCAATGTGTATTTTAGAGTACTCTGCTGATCAGGGTCAATACCTATATCACTGAAGTCAGTTAATAAGCCTCTTAAAATGTATTATAATAAAAATATGCTGTTGTCACAAAGATATACAAACTTTGAGATATGTGTTGATTTTACCAGATTTCCTTCAGAATAAGTATTGATACTAAATCTTGCATCTGATTTAGTAGAGTTTTTCTTTAGGATTTTTTTTCAGTTTTATTTTATTTTTCATTTTCCCTTGTTCATGCATTAGTGCTCAACATAAGAACATCACTATAATGCATTTTAACTACTGACTTGGTCATAACAGCCAAGATCTGAAGTTGCTTTTGGATTTTAAGCATCGTTCAAAGTGGCTGCTGTTGAGTGTTTTTGGGAATGTTGAACCTTGTCTTCTAGATAAAAGTGTCTCCTGACTGCTATAATGAAGCAAATGGATTCTGGTTTTTTTACCTTTAGTTTGAAGTCTCCTGGAGGTGATTAGGAGAGGAACTACCACACTGCACAGTACAGAGGTGGTAGGGACTGGAAGGGGACTGGGGCTGTCTGAAGTCACAAGCGACAGAAGGCACTTGTACTTCAACACACTGAATTTATCAGCAAGTGGTAGCTGTTCTGAACTAAGTTCAGCTGTTCTGAACTAAGAATCTCTGCTAACCTGGTTGTTCCTCTTTCTCCAGCACCTTGTCGAGCTGCTCACATGCTGTGGTGGCCCTGCTCTACCCCTTCTCCTGGCAGCACACCTTCATTCCTGTTCTGCCCTCATCCATGATTGACATCGTGTGCTGCCCTACCCCCTTCCTGGTGGGACTGCTCTCCAGCTCTCTGCCCAAACTCAAGGACCTGCCTGTAGAGGAGGTAGGAGCTGGCACCAGAATTGTTTGCCCTGAGTAAAGCTGGCCTCACCCTGGAGAGGTCTGCCATTCACACATAAATCCTCACGTTTAATTTTTAACCTGCCTCTTTATTTCTTCTCTGCCTAATTCTCATGGGCAACTGCCTCTTGGTAAAACACAGTAGTAGGTTTACTGTTCTCTCTATTCTGCCCCTCTTCCCATATCTGGCACCTTGATAGAGAAAAGTGAATGTTTACCAGGTTAACAAGTAAGTAGGGTGTAAAAATGCTGATTTGTTCTGGAAGAAGAAGAGGAAGCCACCTGCTATGACACCTCTTAATGGTAATAGAAGTTGTTCATGAAGCCACAGCTCACAAAATAAACAAAACCTTTCAGAATTTGTTTTTTTAACTTCTAAGACTTTGTTAATACTATACTGGAAATCAAATGAGAGTTGCACTTCATCAGCTCTTCCAGTAAAATACCATAAAAACACTCAAGGGCACACTCTTCTGTCTTACTCCTATTAGTTTTCTGGCATTTTACTAAGAAATTTTCTTTTCTTGTGCTTGCTTCCGAGGTTCTGTGTTCCTCTGGCCCGTGTAAATCTCTGCTCCCACTTTCCTAACTTTGCTAACTTTTTCCACTTTTCCTCCAACTTTCCTAACTTTGCTCTCCCACATCTTCCCAGCTCCATCTCTAGCTTTGCTGCTTCATTATCAAGAATATTTCACACCCTTGTCCTTTAGAAGCGCTGCTGCCTCCAATGACACTGTTTTCTTTAAACCCTTCTGAAATACTTTTCAAGTGCACGTTAACAAAAATTATTAGCAATAACTTGCTTAGATTTAAAAAAAAGGACCTGCCTAACCCTTTCAGCTTTTTTTACATGTTAACCTAGTATGAGACCTGTTGTATCTAACTATGCTAAATTAGACTTTTAGCTCTAAAGAAAACTTTCACACTCTTATTTTATAAAGCACACAACCTCTTGTTTCACAGTAGGAATTTGATTCATGTTGAGGCTTGGCACTGTTCAGATGGTCTTTTGCTATTAAGAGGCCATGACTGTTTTCTGTCTCCTCAGGTATATCTCACTACAGTGTTTTTTTTTCTTTAGGCTTTGATGGTTAACCTGGGATCTGATCGATTCATCAGACAGGTAAAGTACAGCTCGAAATGCTGTCATGCAGTCTAGCAAGCTGTTTACTGCTGTAGCATGATTAGGTTTCTTTGATCAGAGATATTTGGCAGGAATTGTGTGTACAAAGGGAAAGTGATTAGAAAAAAAAAAGTGTTCATTTTCTGTTTCATCTGCAAATAAGTACCTCTCAGGTATGCAAAATGGACTTAGGCTATGACTGTCAGAAGGAATCCAGACCTGTATTAACAGTGGAAAGAAAACATCCAAAGATAACAATGCCACCTTAGCAAGAAAACTCACACTGTGGGAGATGAAAAGCACAAAAATTGCAAAGAAGTTTCTGAGTGAGAGAGGAGAGTAAAGAATAATTTATTGTGATGGCAAAAGCAGAAGCCTTGTAAAACAGGGAGATAAAGGATCACGATCATCTGATAGTCATGTGGCGCTAAATAATTTCAAGAACAACAATCTGCAGGTTAGATGAGTAAACTTTCTTGTACGATTCCCTGGACAATATGGCTGGTGAATAGGGGCTGCACAGCTAAGATTCTTGTGTCGAGTTGCTTTTGCTGAACAAGCATTAAATAAAATGAAGAGACCAAAACAGGGAAAACCCAGAAAACAAGATATACTATGATATAGTAAAAACAACTGTCAAGAACCAAAGAAGCTGCCTAAACTAGAGCAGCTGTGTGTACACATAGCAAGGCTTCACATGATGTATATTTAGTTAAACACAATTATTTGGACTCTTTGTCATGTAAAGAGCTGATCCCAAGATTCTGTATGTTTACCTGCTCTTTGGATTATCACTTCTGACTTTAATCTCATTAAGAGTGACAAGAAATTATGTTTAGAAGTATATGTTAGCTGCACATAGGTTTTCATTATTTATGTAGCCATGACAGTAGCAGATACAAATTTTTTTTCACCTGAGTGAAAATACTTCTGAATACTTCTGAAAGTATTTGCTGTAGTTTCTGCATAGATTAATGTAACCTAAAGATTTCCTTTCTTTCCTCTATCAGATGGATGATGAAGACACACTATTACCTAGGAAATTGCAAGCTGCTCTGGAGCAGGCTCTAGAGAGAAAGAATGAACTGATAAATCAGGATTCAGATAGTGATTCAGATGACGGTAAGTTCATTTGGAAACAGGGACTTGTATAAAACAAACATGTAGGTAGAATTGTGACTTTCCAGGAGAAAGAAAGATGAGACTTGAGTTCTCAAATACCTTTTGTGACATCAAAAATAGTGAGCACCCAGGGAATGAGACTGATAGCATCAACCTCCAGTAATACCAGCAATCTATTTTAATTTCTTTGTAAATGACATGGGCTCTCATGGGTCCCTCTGAACCTTTGCTCATACAGAGGTTTGCAGTTGACTTGGCCCTAGTTCAATCCAGATAACTCTACAGGCTTAGGGATGTGTCTGAGTTTGGAGTTTCTTTTGGCACTCGGTATTTTCAGGGGAGAGAAACAGGTACCACCAGAAAATAGTTTCAGTGCAAGATGGGTTACATTGTCTCTGCAGGTTCACATTTCTCTCCAGCAGTGATAAAAACAGCTCAGGCTCAATATAAATGCCTATGGTTAAAGGTATGAAACAGGCCCCTATTCAGTTTTTGAAATTTATTTCTACTCATCTGTATTACATATGTAAAACTGTTTTAACATCTCAGAAATTATGAAAACTCAAATTCTACAACATGCCCTTTTTGATCAGTCTTTGTTCCTCAGGGATGAAACACTCATAAAATGCTTAATTTTCTGAGTTGTTTCCTGAGGATTTGTAATTCTCATTGACTGTTGGTTATGGAACACCAATTATACACAGTGGCACTTGTGATTATGAAGTCGTTGCCCTCTCTGATGTGCAACAGGTGTGTGGGGAGCCCCCAGCACAACTCCTGTCAGTTGTTAGCACAGCATCAATAAACTAAGAGATGCAGCACTGGCCCTGTGGGAATAATGCTGACAGCTCTGGTAGCAGCTGATTTTGGTGTCTTATTGCTGCCTTATTTTGCAGAATGTAACACCCTGAATGGATTAGTGTCTGAGGTTTTTATCCGATTCTTTGTGGAGACAGTTGGCCATTATTCCCTGTTCCTAACCCAGAATGAAAAAGGAGAGCGTGCCTTCCAAAGGGAGGCATTCCGTAAATCTGTGGCCTCCAAGAGCATCCGCCGCTTCTTGGAAGTTTTCATGGAATCCCAAATGTTTACTGGCTTCATCCAGGACAGAGAGCTGAGGAAATGTAGGGCAAAAGGTAAGGGCGTGTTTCTCCCCTGCGGCGCGGGTGATGCGTTCTGCCGGGGTCCCGCAGCAACTGACAACGCTGGGAAAACGGAAACGCGTCCCTGAAATAATGCCGGGCTAACCGGAAGGTCGATTTAAGCGGAGGCTGCCGGAGGCAGAGCCCGCACGGCCGGGATTGCCCCGGGCCGCCCGCCGGAGCTGCGCCGTGGGGAGCGGGGGACGCGGGTGCAGCCGGACACAGCTCACCCCGGCGCCCCTGTCTCCCCTCTGCCGCAGGTCTCTTCGAGCAGAGGGTTGAACAGTATTTGGAAGAGCTGCCGGACACGGAACAAAGTGGAGTGAACAAGTTCCTGCGAGGCCTTGGTGAGGAAAATTTTTAGAAGTATTTCTGACATTAATGTTAGTGCTTGTGGTTATTTTTTTTTCCTTTTTTTTCTTCTTTTTTTTTAAAATTTAAAAAAGCCTTACCTGAGATAAAATCAGATAGGCAGCTGCAATGTAATAGGAAATATTAAAAGGAAAACAGTGAAAACATAGTTAAAGATGACAGAGCTAGATTTAACTATGAGCCCTGTTAACGCTTTCATTTTCATTTTGGGGGTGGGGGAACCGAACCGTAACGGAGGAGTAGAACAAGAAGGTGTCTGACCACTCAGCACTTTGTTAGTTGGCTGTCCCTGCTGGTGTTGATTCGAAGAGTAACCTTACAGCAGTAACCTAACCTTAAAGTTAGACCCATCTGTTAGGTCACTTTTGATTACCCTGGCTTTTTGGTACATGCGAGACACTGACAGTGTGCTTTCTTCAGGGAACAAAATGAAGTTCCTTCACAAGAAGAACTAATTCCTTTCTGCTGAAATACCAACCCAAAGACTATTTATGACACTGCGCGAGACACCTGCGGCATTCCAGAGTTCGGAGCATGAGGAGAGCAGAGCGAGCTCTAAGTGATGACTGATGCTGTTGACAGTGTGCCACGTGATGGCTCCTTTATGTATTTAGATAGAATTTGTACATAATGTGCTGTAAGCTTTTTGTAACTGATTTTGTAATGAGCAAGAAAACTGTGGTAAATATTTGTATATTCCTGAGAATAACAGGTGCTTATTTTTGTTTCTTTAGTATGAATTGAGTTATGCTTGGTGCAAAAATGAATAGCTGATTTATGTGCAGCTGACTGTCTCAGCAGAACCACTGACTTCAAGGGATGTTTGTGAGAGAGCGACGCTGATGCCTGAATACTGTGGGGTGAATGAGCTCGGGTACATGGGAGAGGTTGTACGAACGGGGGCCGCTTTCACGCGGCACAGTTGCTTGTTTGGTTGGGTTTTTTCCCCTCTAATTAATTTTAAAGAAATAACAAAGCAACTTGATAATAAGGTACTTGGTTCACAATGCAAACTTTCCACTTGGTTTGAACTCTGGTCAGTAAACTCCTTGTAATCCATTCTGCACTAAGACTGCTAAACCTGAGGAGATCTCAGCTCTTTGACATACAAGCTGCAGCGAGTAGGTACAGTACATCCTTTCCTAATGTATGTATGTATGGTTTCTAATAAACTCTGTAAATATACCTGTTTGTTTATATTCATTGCAAACCTCTGCAGTTTCTGATGTTGAGCAGGTACAAACCCAGTAACTTTCCTGTGATTTTTTTTTTTTTAATGAATTTGTAATTAAAATGGTTATTATGAACCTGTCTTTTGGTAGGTTTGCTATTTCGTGATGTGTAGTTTGGGTTTTCTTCAATGTTTTTCACTGGTGCTAAGAGAAGGCATTTTGTATCGCCGTTTTGTTAATTTTATCCTAACAGAAGCATCTCTTAAAACATTTCTTTCGTGGGGTAGCAGCGAATTGTTTTGTCATTGTATCATATATACCCCTGAACTGTCGTATTTTCAGGTTGCTTTTGTGCTACATTGGGTAGATGATCAGAGTAGAATATGAGCAGCTTATAGCAGGCAGCCTTTGTCTGGATTTCTGATGAGCTGATCACCTACATTTCATGAGAGACTGCTTTTCTTTTACATTAATTGCAGTGTGTTTAGCTGATGTTTCCATGTCAGTGAAGACAGGACAGGAATGGTTCAGCTTGCCATGGCTCCTGCACAGCTGTGAGTGCTGCTTAACTACCACATTCGTCCTTGATCTGATAACAGATAACTGTTGAGGTTCTGTAAGTTTCCCTGTAGTCTGAAGAAGAAAATATAAAATGCTTGAATATATTTGCAAGTCTGACAGATAATGAAAATTAGCTAAAACTTCTTACCTTTAAAGAAAAGAAGCCATACTGTGTTTTTCTTCATTTGCAGCATGATTTCTGTAGTTAGACTGGCTTTGAGGCTTGCGCAATTCCGAACCTGTCAGTGGTTCTGGTTTGCTATCAGCCTCATAGAACAATATCGAGGGATTATTCACTAAAAAGGTGAAGTCGTTTCCTTTTTTAATTACCTCCCTCACACTCGTGTGTATACAAAAGCTTTTAAGTGGACATGAAATGTCTGTAAAATATCAGGTGCTTTTGATTCAATGGAAATGTCATCACAACCAATAATTTCCATTAGTTTTACTATATAATACGTTCTAAGTTCCAGAATGACTCCTAGATGTAAGTCTTCGGAGTGGAAGGAATAACGTCACTTGTACAGGTGGCTTCTGGCCTTTTTATAAACAGCAGCTGCTAGTAAATGTATGTACATATTCCTCTTAAGAAAATGATGGATAAAACATCATCAGGACGTGCTGCAGAGTTGCTACAAAAGCAAGACAAAGCCGCAGAAAGACGTACAAGACTGATGCTGTAAAAGCCGTCTCCCACACCAAAGCTATTTTCCTCCATCTGCACTTTAAAAATTTAAAGAGAAAGGTTTTAAACATTTTATGATCCATCAACATGTCACTCCTGCTTTTGTAATGTGAATCAGAGGATAGAAATGGACACGGTGAGGTCATGTTTCGAAAAATCTGTAGATCTTCTTGACCCTCAGACTATGGCTATATAAAACAATCCCTGTGTTATTTGGAGGTCTGTGTTTGAAAGGGAAGGATGAATGAAAAATTAGAAGTGTTCTCTTCTAAGTTAGTTGCTAAAACGAATGGGTTTCCTCAGCATGGAACATTACAAGTGCACCGCTTAACTGAGAAGGAAATCCTGAAAAAACCCAAATCTAAAACCAAGTCCTGTGTTTAAAACTGGTAAAGATCTGTTTAAAATCTTACAGTATAAAATCCATTCAAAAAAAAAACCAAAACAACAAAACAAAAATCCAAGCTTAATCATAGAATATTTAAGAGTTGGAGGGGACCCAAAAGGATAATCGAGTACTACTCTTAAGGGAATGGCCCAGACAGGGTTCGAGCGCACAACCTTGGTGTTACTGTCACTGTGCTCTGACCAAGTAGAGCAATGAAACAGTAACGCTCCTCAGGCATCACTGGTACTCTAGTGTGGCAAATAACTGTGTTTAATACATAGTGTTTATTTTCCCGTTGTTATGGGTGTTTAATAAAGTGACCCAGCTTGCAAATTTTCAAAAGTTCTGCTCAAAATCCCGCTTTTGCTGCGGACCCCAACAGCAACTCCGAGCTCAGCCCCCGGCGCGGCCGCCTCAGCGAAGCCTCGCGAGAGTTCAGCCCCGCCCACCCGCCCATCCCGCTTTTTTCCGCTCTCGCGAGAACCGCGCCCTTTCTCTCCCTCGAGCACGCCGACAAGATGGTGGGAGCTGCTGCCGGGCCGGGATGGGATGGGATAGAATAGAATGGAATGAAGGGCTTCGCGGCCGTCGCTCCTGCGGAGCGACATGGCTGAGGAGTACTGGAGGGTGGCGGGGAGGTGCGTCTCCGAGCCCGTGGCGGGGCAGAGCGGTGCGGGGAGGCCGGCCCGCCATGGCCTGTGTTTCCGCGCCCGCCGTGGGGCTGCGGCCTCGGGGTGCGGCGGGTGGTTCTGCTGCCTCTCGCTGCCCGCCGCGCTCACAGCTTCTCTCCCGCTTTCCCGCAGCCTTCCAGGCTAAGGAAGACCCGGAAGCTGAGAGGACACGTCAGCCACGGGCACGGCCGCGTGGGTGAGTGGAGGGGAGGCCGCGGGTGGGCTGGGGCGCCTCGGCGGGAGTGTCCCTGTCGGCTGAGGGCTCCCCGGCGCTGAGGGGAGTCTGCTGTGCCTCGCGGGTCGCAGGAAAAGGCGGCTGTGGGTGCAGGGGCCCACTGGGCTGTGGGAAGTAGCGAGTAGTTCCGAAGGCCGCGGCGTGCGGGGGTCGGTGCCGCAGTGATGGGCCGATCAGAAGCCTTGCACATTTGTAACTTCAGTAGTGCACAGGCGATCGGTACTGGTCGTGCGACATCGTAACATTACAGGGCAGTGCTGTTTGCCTTCTGATTCTTTGGCCATTCACACCTTGTCACACAACAAGGTGGATTAATTAATTAATTAGTTTAAATTGACACTTAATGTACCTTTAAGCCTAAGTATTATATGTGACGTTAGTGTAACAAACTTAAATTTTTCTTTTTAGGGAAACACAGGAAGCATCCAGGAGGACGTGGTAATGCTGGTGGTATGCACCATCACAGGATTAACTTTGATAAATAGTAAGTGAACATTTTAAATGAATACTAGCAATGTGTGTGTTCCTGAAGTAGACACAACTAACTTTTATGTGTGAATAAACAAAATTTCCTGCAATCTTATGTGCTTTTTACTCTTAATGTGAAGTGTGGCATTATAGCTACAGGCAACTCGTGTCCTCATTTACCCTAAAATCAAAGGCTTTTTCACTTAAGCAAGATGTCTTTTAAGAGTTCAGTGCTGCATTTGGTAAATTTGACCAGACTTGCTGGTTAACAACTTGGTTCTTGCTTAACAATGCACACACAATAGACTTAAAATATTATATTAAATGTTAAATCCAAACTGCATCCTGTTAGCTGCGTCCTGTAGGCTCAGGGGTGTTGTCCTTACTCGTGGCCGAGACTATAGAGTCACATCTGGGCACTGCCTGTTGTCCTGGTGTGCTGGAGTCCTCGGACAGTAACCACTAATCTATTCACTGGCTGTGCCCATTCCTGTCTCAGTCAGTCACCAGGTTAGTGACAGGAGCACTGAAACTCCATGGGCAGTGCAGCCCTCCCAGCATTCATGGAGTTGGGACTGCCCTGGAAATGCAGACTCCAGTGAGAGGGATGAAGCTGTGAGTTCAAGGGAGATGAAACACTTGAAGAGGAAGTAATTTTTTCTTGGTTTAGTTACTAATAATTATTACACCTAAATGCTACACATACTAATATGAAAAAAATATCATGTGAAATTTCGATTGCTCTAATCCAATAAGGTGCTTGTTTGAGTGCTAATTTTGTAGTTCTGCTTGTTCAGGATGAATTAAAAATGTGATCTAATGTGGAATATGTTTCTTTCCCAGTCACCCTGGTTATTTTGGAAAAGTAGGCATGAGACACTATCACTTGAAGAGAAACCAAAAGTTCTGTCCTACTGTCAACCTGGATAAACTGTGGACGCTCGTCAGTGAACAGACCAGGCTTAATTATGCCAAAAATGAGGCTGGTCTGGCCCCGGTCATCGATGTAGTGCGCTCGGTGAGTTCCTGCTCAGTCAGCCCTGTGACTTCTGGTCTCTTCATGTGTGACTGAGCTTTGCCTTTCCAGATAGGGAAATGGTGAACTGCAACTAAATTTGAGTGCTTAAGTATTTGTGAGCTTCTCGAGACAGATATCTTGGCATACAAGTAGTTACAGAGGCACGTATGGTGTTACATTTTTCCCTGTAAGAACTTTTTCTTATAGTTGCGTGTGACTTATAGTTCCCTCCTTTGGGTAGATGGTGAAAGATTTCCTGTTTAAAATGTTCCTGAAAGCGTGTACAAACACCTGGCAGAACTAGTCTCATTCTCATAACATCACTTTTCCAATATCGAGACTAGAGTCACATCTCCACATGTTTGGTTGTCTTGGTGTGCTATAGTTCTCGGACATAAACACCTGATCTTTATTCACTGGCTGTGATGTCCTGTATCCCAGTCAGCCACCGAATCAGGAACACTGAACTGCTCTGCCAGGTGGAGGTGTTCTGCCTCCTGCACGAAGATACCTGTGTTGGCCAGTTAGGCTGCCACTTCTAACCAGCAGTGATTTCAACAGCTGTTTTATTAATGGACTTCATGCCATGATTGTCCTGCTAATGTAAAGGACAGGAATGATATAAGAGGATTCCAGTGTTAGAGAGCAGCTATGGCTGTGAAAGCTTGACAAAGCTTCAGCTGTGCATTTCAGGCATGCAGAAGAGCCCTCTGCTCTGCTCAGAAGTACCAGGGTGTCCAGCTGGTAAAGAGCACTGACCAGCAGTCATTACATAGTAGGCAGTGTTGGAAGTGCAACCAACTGCTCTTCCCAGAAAAATGTGGAAAGGTTGGTGACTTTAGGGTGTTTTTTGTATATGGAGTATTTGGAGAAGCATCATCCAGCTTCTAAATCACAGGAGAATTTCAGTTTACAGTTTACACTTTCTTTCAGAACAAACACAACCCCACTAGGTCATGCAGGGCATCTTTCTATAGGTACTGAGTTGTCTGGATGAGGTCACGGTGATCACAGTTTTAGTTTTAACTGTTGAAAAACAGGTCTGAAGGTAGAAGCCTGCAAGCCGATTACAAACACTGAACTTCTTTTTTAAATCTTTCTAGGGCTACTACAAAGTCCTGGGCAAGGGGAAGCTGCCCAAGCAGCCTGTAATTGTGAAAGCAAAGTTCTTCAGTAGAAGAGCAGAGGAGAAGATCAAAGAAGTTGGTGGTGCCTGTGTGCTTGTGGCATAAAAGTTTTTGTTTTATTCAAATTTTTTGAATAAAAACAATGGATAAAATGAACTGATATACAGAAGCTTGTTTTGTGTTTTCTTTTTCTGACTTGTCCAGGCACCATTCACACTTGAGTCTTACCTGCTTAGTTATTTCTGGTACTTTTTGATCAGTGGTTTGACTGTTTCTTGCTTTATTTTGAAATTGCCTGACTACGGTGTCCAGTACGTGGTATGTACAAATACCTCATCTTTTTGTCTTTACAGGGTAGCAAAATAGATTCTGTATTTGTGCTGCTCTTTGATTGGTGATCCTCTCTACAGCTGTCTGTGAAAAGGGGACTTGATGTGTTTGGCAGTAATTAAATTTAGATGGCTTTTAGGGTAAAATTGACATGTGTTCCATTTATGAAATGGTTCATCTTAGCCAGTGGTACTGCTAGTTGTGAAGAACTATAACTTGATTGAACAGTTTGTAAAGTACTAAGGTAAGAGTGTGTGAACTGCCTCTCCCTGACTGATGGGACCACTGTTTCCTAATAGGTGATACTGTTCATCCACTGCCAAAGCAAAAACATTCCAGTTCTCAAAGGTGAGTTGTGTGGTACAGCAAACTAAGGAGTGCTGTTACTGCCTGGTGTTGGTCACCTGGTCGCTGAGCAGACCACAGAAGTGAGGCAAAGCTCGCTGGGCACTGACGTGCCCTGTGCACACGTAACAACAGGCAGGTGACATCGGCTCACTTATATGCATAGTAGACATCGCTCTCAATGCTTTGGTATTTAATGTCTTAGTATTATGTCTTGCAATATTTTGTCATGCAAAATGTTCTTTGTGAGAGGCATGCCAGCCCCACCAGCTCTGGTCTCTGCAGGCCAGCTGGGGTTTAGTGTGGGGTTGGGATTTTGCACAGCTGAGCCTTGTCCCTGACACACCTGCAATGAGGCTGGGGCAGGACTTCTTCCTTGGCAGCTGCCTGTGCTGTATGTCTACTCTTGCCATAACTGCCCAGAGGAAAAATTCAAACCTGGGGTTTGAGGTTGAGCTGTTAATCTGTCAAACAGGAGTGGCTGCCAGAGGCACTGTGCCGGGGAAGGAGGTGATGTGCTGGAGGAGGCTGTCAGTCACTGCTGTTGGGTGCATGCCCTCCCCTCACACTGCCTCGTCCTGGAGACAAAACTAGTGGAATTGCTCTTCATAACATTTCAAAGTGCTGTTATGAGCCTCCTGTAGCAACATCCACTTTGAATGGACTGAAGAAGATACAAAAAAAATCTGATTAAATAGAGAAAAATAATCACAGGAAATTGAAAGACCTTATTAGAGAGTTCATCCCTCAAATATAGAAATTGTTAAGTTATAAGAGTGTATTATTACAAAATTCTCTTTGTCTGAAATGCATTAATGCTTTGCTGGAAATTCCAGTCCTGAGATACTTGGATGGTTGCCATCGATTTGCTCTGGGATGGCTGTTGCCTTCCCAAGGCCATGACTGACCTTTTGATCCCAAAGCAGCCCCAGTGCAGTGCCTTTCCTTTGCCCTCCTCTGGGCTGACATACCCAAAGCACTTTGCTTCCCATTCCAGGTGTGACTGCCTGCCAGGTGCCTCCCCAGTTCTACCAGTCTTCCTCTATTTCTGTCCTGTGTCCTGCCTCATTATTCTCACCATACATCTCCAAATGTAATGAAGTTTATTTTCTTTGTAGTCACTGCTGCTGGACTTGGTGTTTCCCGTCAGCGTAGCCAAGTCACTGCTAATCATAGACCCATAGAATAATTTGGGTTGGAAAAAAACTGAGATCATTGAGTCAAGCTGTTAACCAAGCACTGCCAAATCTACCACTAAACCATGTCCCTAAGTGCCACATCTACACAACTTTTAAATACCTCCAGGGATGATGACTTGAGCAGCCTGTTCCAGTGCTTGACAACCCTTTCAGTGAAGAAATGTTTCCTGATATCCCATCTAAACCTCCCCTGGCACAACTTGAGGCTGTATCCTCATGTTCTATCTCTTGTTGGGAGAGGAGGCCGACCCCCACCTTTCTACAGCCTTCTTTCAGGTAGTTGTAGAGAGCGATATGGTCTCCCCTGAGCTGTCCCCAGCTCCCTCATCTGCTTCTCATCAGATTTGTGCTCCAGACCCTTGCCCATCTCCATTGCCCTTCTCTGGACTCACTCCAGAACCTCAATATTTTTCTTGTAGTGAGGGTCTGAGAACTGGACATGGTATTTGAAGTGTGGCATCACCAGTGCTGAGTACAGGGGCACAATCACTTCCCTAGTCCTGCTGGCCACTCTATTTCTGATCCAAGCCAGGATGTCATTGGCCTTGGTCACCTGGGCACACTGCTGGATCATGTTCTGCTGCTGTCAAACAGCACATCCAGGTCTTTTTCCACTTGGCCCCTTTCCAACCACTCTACCCCCAGCTTGCAGCGCTGCCTGGGGTTGTTGTGACCCAAGTGCAGGACCTGGCACTTGGCCTTATTGAACCTCAGGGACTTGGTCTCAGCCCATTGATTCAGCTTGTCCAGATCTTTCTGCAGAGCCTTCCTGCCCTCCAGCTGATCAACACTCCCACCCAACTTGATATCATGTGCAAACTGAGGGTACCCTTGGTCCTCTTGTCCAAATCATTCATAAAGAAATTAAACAGGACTGGCCCCAGTACTGAGCCCTGGGGAACACCACTGGTGTTCCTGCCAGCTGGATGTAACTCCATCCACCACCACTCTCTGAGCCCAAACATCCAACCAGTTCCTAATCTAGCCAAGAGTACACCCATCCAAGCCATGTGCAGCTATTTTCTCCAGGAGAAGGCTGGGGGAAATGATGTCAAAGACTTTACTGAAGTTTAGGTAGACAACAGCCACAGCCTTTCCCTCATCCACTAAGTGTGTTGTCTTGTCATAGAAGATCAGGTCAGTCAAGCAGGACCAGCCTTTCATAAACCCATGCTGACTGGGTCTGATCCCCTGGTTATTGCATAAGTGCCACAAGATGGCACTTAAGACGATCTGTTCCATGGCCTTCCCCAGCACCAAGGTCAGGCTGGCAGGCCTGTAGTTCCCTGGATCCTCTTTCTGGCCCTTCTTATAGCTGGGTGTCACAATTGCTGACCTCCAGTGAACTGGGACACCCCCCTCCCCCCCCCAGTTAGCCAGGACTGCTGATAAATGACTGAAAGTGGCTCAGTGAGCACTTCCACTAGCTCCCTCAGAACACTTGGGTGGATTCCATCTAGCTCCATAGACTTGTGTGTGTCTAGGTGGTGTAGCAAGTCACTGACCATTTCCTCTTGGCTTACAGAGGTTTCACTCTGCTCCCCATCCCTGTCTTTCAGCTTAGGGGGCTGGGTACTCAGAGAACAACTAGTCTTACTATTAAAGACCAAGGCAAAGAAGACATTAAGTATCTCAGCCTCCTCTTCCTTCATCTACCAGACTACTAATTTGCATGCCCATCTCAGCACAAAATTTTAAACACTTTTATCCCTCTCCTGCCAAAAAAACTTATACATAGTTTTGTATGTTATGCAAAAAGCATAAATTAAAATGTAGGGCAACCTGCTTCTGCTCCTCCAGCCACAGGTTCTGCCTTTACAGTAATACAGTGTTTCCCTGTATCAGGCTTTGTTTGCACTGATTCTCTGTGCAGGGATGCTTTGGTCCTGGGCTGTGGTTTCTTTGTCTAAACAATGCGGTAGTCTAAGACCTCAGCTTCCTACTGCAGAACTGACATGTTTTTGTGGGTGCTGATTTGTCTTCTTAGCAACAGCACTTGCAAGAAACAACAGAGGTGGAGTGAGCTGAGAGGCTGTGCTGCTCTAGGGACATTTGCCTCTGAAAGATGAAGATGCATTGTGAAAAGTAAGTTTGTGTAATAAGCACTGATATAATGTTAGTTAAATCATAGGTACAACTGCCAATTCAATTCACAGATCATTTCTAAAGGGACCTCTACTTTTGAAATTAGAATCTTAACTTTTAGTGGTAGGTTTGAATTTGTCTAAGTAATTTGCCAGTCAAGTTGGTGGATATCTACCTAGAACAGGTCTTGGGTATGAAGTATGGTGCAGACTTTAACAGAGGGTCCATTTTTTTCTCTAAAATATTCTAAATACCAATGACTTCAGGATGCAACACTTAAAAATTTCCTGGTTGTGAATTTCTGAGACTCTCATAAATTTTTTGTATTGTAGAAAAAAAAATCCCAAAACAAAACAGAGCCACTTACTAACTATTTCCACTGGAATCTCCCACAAGACAGATTCCTTTAAGGGAATAGGTGGCCCTAAGATTAGAGCTGCTGCTTTTCTGTGCTGGGGAAATCTGGATATCATAGCTTCAGTTACATACTGCTGGCAGCAGGGCCACCATGTCAGGGCTATTGGTCCCAGGAGGCTAGCTCAGATAGAAGGGTGACTCCGAGGAGATGAGACTTTATTTGCGTTTTCACCTCTGATACAACTTGCAGAAGTCGCCCTTTGCAGGTGGTGTCTGATCAACATCTCTCACAATCTCGGAATAGAGGATGAAACATGAACTACAAAACTCTCAATTGACCTTGGGGAGCTTAGGTTGGCAGGAGGAACACTGTCCTGCTTGTGGGAAGCTTAGGTTTTGTTTATAATCTGATCTGTGGTCATCTTGATAGTCAAAATTTGATTACTGTGAAGTGCATTTTCTATAAAGAAGATTGGCAGACGATGCTGTACATTTTTCAAGGCAGCTTTCTAACATGCATTGCTGAAATGATGGACGTGTGATCAGCCATTGTTATTATTTGCTTTACCTGAAAACTGTAAAATATTGAAGTGAAATTGTAAAAATAGTCAGAGAATATCATCATCTTTATTGCACAGTTTCAGTACTTTTAACAGGAAATGTACAGTGTGTGATAATTCAGCCCGGTAGCAGCTTTGTAAGTAGATCAATAGAACAGATTAGTTCAGTTTTTACAGAAGTAGCAAATACTAGAGAGATAGTGGGATCATGGTTTGTAAACCTTAAACCACACTTTCCTGCACAACAATCTGCAAAGATATTCTTTTCTGTAAAGCAGGTATGTGATTTTCAGCTGAAAGGGACTTCTTCTTTTTTGCACAAGGGCTAAATAAATGTTGTTTGTTTGATTGTTCATCCCGCTGTTGCCTTCTAGTTTGTGCTTGAGTGATCAAGTGTTTTGTGAAGTGAAGGGCTTGTCATGAGCCATTTTGTGACTCTTCATGTTTTCGATGTCAGACTTCAGCCAACAGAAATGGAGACCCTGGATTTGCTGTGGAACTGTTTGGTGTGCAAGTGGGACCTGAGGAGGAGAGACCCCAGAATGCTACCTTGCCTTCATTCCTTCTGTAAGGACTGTCTTCCGGATTTGATTCAAGGATACAGCTATATTCCCACTCAGTATGAAGTTCTGTATGAAGGTAATATTTAAGGATCTCTGGCTTATGCTTTTTGCATTACAGTATTAGAAAAATAGGTGGATTGAGAAGTACTTTTTAAGCCCATTCTTCTACGGCACTACTTTAAATTGATAAATTAGGAGAGTCAAGATTTGTATGAGCAGAGAGTGGATTGAGAACAAGCCTTCCTCATTATGTTTTTCATCCAACAGCAGTGTTTTGAATAGAAATGACACAGGCAACGTTTAACATTTTTCAGCATGGGTGAGGTTTCAGTTATCAAGTGTGTCATTATGAATATTTTGTTTTCTTAGCTTAATAAATGAATAAATGCTGCAAGATAGTTTCCAAGATGCATCCTTTTGCAATCTTTTTGACATGCTGGACATTTCTATGGTACTGGTGGTGGTGATAGCCTTGTTCTTCCCTCACCCCCACTTCAGTGTCTCCCCAATAACAACACCAAAACATCCGGTCCTTTGTTTCTATTAGAGGTCACAATAATTGTTATCAGAATATGTGTATTCTGGTGCGCTGAAACTCTTCCTTTTATCTCCTTTGTGAATGTGGTTTCTCTCTACCTGCACACTTGTGGCTGTAACTCACTCTAACAAGCTGAGTAAACTCATGAGGATGAGAAGCATTTTGTGGCTGTGCTTTTTGAAATCCTGAAGTTATTAGTACAGTTTTTGGTAGTGATGTTAAGAGAAAATATGTAACTTCTTTTGAATTAAAACTCCTATGACATAATACAGTAATTTTAACTGAAAGAATCTTAATTGCTGTGGGAAAACATTGCAGACTCATTACTAATTTGTAAGAAGAGCAAAAGCATACAGGTTACTTGTATTTTCAAGGCTTTGAACTTTAGTTGAGTAAGGGGTATGATTTATTATATTTTCCATAGCAGATTTTAGAAACGTAGGAAGAGAAGATACCTTCCCTGAGGTGATGGTAATCAGAATTGATGAGATAACACAGTCATCTAGACTAGTTCAGGTTTGAGAAAAACTGGAAACTGTTGAAGAGATCACTATTGAAAGGTTAGCAAAACACAAAACTAAAGGAAAAGAGAATGACTTAATGGCAAAGGAGAAGGGCTGTTCATGTTTAGGTTACAGATAGAAAAAGATATGAAGGTAGGAGAAGAAGATAAAGGCAACAAAGAAGTAATTTCAAGTAATGTTCCCTTAAAATTTTTAATGCTCAGTCATAGTATGCTTAAAATCTGAGGGACCGACTCTATAAAAAAATGCTGTTGAAACAAGCACTCCATTACTTTTTATGTATTCTCATTTGACAGTTAAGCCATTCCTCTCTCCTTTTAGTTTCTGTTTGCCTAGTGGAAAGGTGAACTTGATGATCTTGGATAAAGCACAGCTAAAGGTTCCCTTGAGTTGTTAAAATATTAGACGTTTCTTCAAGCTGGATCAGGAATCCATGTAGATCACCAATTCTTTGTCAATAGCAAAATGGAATAAATACATGTTTATTTCTGTATTCTTGAAGTTTCTCTATTTACTTCCTCATTCTTTTGTAGGTAGGGAAATTCTGTGGGAAACACTAGGATCAGAGAAAAGAAATAATGAACAGTGATGACCCAGTAAATGAGGTGAGACACCAGGTGCAGAGACTCAGTTGATATATGAGCAAGGAAAGCAGCAAAACCAAAACATCTGTGTCTCTTAATTAAGTCAACGACTGAAACTGCTGCCACCATAAGTCAGCCAGGATAAATTTGTGAACTCTCATGCTGGCACAATGCTAAATGTTGCTTGTCTTATCTGCACTGATTGCTGAGTTATGGACAGTACAATGCCAACTCAGTTTTCACTGTTATCTTTAAGTATGATCATACATAGATGCTAATAATAAACTACATGCAAGAGCTAAACCATGTGAGTAAACATAAAATATTGCCTGTAAGAAAAATGTGTTCCTTACTCACTATGGATTCTTTAAGAAAGTGTAAGAAAGGAAAAAGTAAATGTATTTCCAAGTGAAGTTAATCTGATATTTGTTACAAAAAGCACACTTGAATTTGCAGGTTTCTGTATGCTTTACTACAAGCATAATTAAAGTACTCTGATAACAGAAAGCTCTTTTCTAGTTTATTGTTTTTGTGTTGAAATTGCTGAGAAGCTGGAGGTAAGTGGTCCTGATATTTGGTGGGTGTTGGTGTTGGAACTTACTTTTATACCTTTTGTGTGTTTATGGTGACTCATGAAAGAAAGCTCTGAGATAGCCAGAGCTCATATGGAAAAGCTGGATGCAC